TGCTTCCGCACAACGGGGGCAGAGACCTATTATAGGTCAAAATCGACCTGATACTTATGTCAGAGAACCTAGCAGGTGCAATGCAGTTTGCATATCTGCTTCCCCGCAACCCCTTTATGAGACTAGATCACGCCTTATGCGAAGTCACCCTCACCTTTCGCCAGAGACCGGATCACGACTCAGGCTTCTTCAAACTCAATAATTCCCTCCTACACCAGCAGGATTTTACACAGTTGGTTCAAGACACGAGGGCCTACTGGCACCAACAGAAAGCACACTTTGATTCTGATGTCACATGGTTCAACAATGGTCTTTTTTTTTTGGGCCGCAAGATAAAAGAGTACTCCAAAAAATTAGCAGCCAAGCGTTATCAAGAGGAAACGGAGATTCAATACCAGATTCAAAACCTACAACAACAACATTCCACCCCTCACCTTCAGACACTCCAGAATAAACTATTGGACTTCGCAACCTATAGATGACATGGCATAAGGATTAGAGGTAAACTCGCCAAACACATCACTGAAGGGGTCATGGACTCTGACTTCTTTGGCTTGGCAACAGTGGCAAGGACCAGGGCAACGAGACAGACCATTGAGGCCTTCATGGATCCCACTGCACCAAAGAGGCCGCTAGCAACCTCCACGCCTTAGTGTATCATGAAGGTGGCTAGGGATTTCTACAAAAACCTCTTCACCTCTCGCACCCAAGGCGAAAATACCGCCACAAGAAACAGAGAAATAGAGGATTTTATCACCCTCCTTACTAAATCACTCCCTTAGCGGATGCAAGAGGCTTTAGACCATCCGCTCACCAGGGAGGAGATATTGATGGCTCTTATGCAGATGGAGGAAGAGAAACCCCCAGGTGTAGATGGTTTTTCAAAAGAATTTTGGGAAACCTTCTGGACCTTGTTGGCCAGGGTTGTCGACCCCCGGCCCCGGGACCCCGCCGGGGTTCCGGGGTTCCGGGGGTCGGCACCCGGGACCCCGGCCCCCTGTATGGGAAAAAA